ATTAGTGATAAAATTCAAGAAATACAAAAAGAAGAAAAGTTGCTGTTGTCAAGAACTTTGGTTACCTCTACTATATGCATGGCTGTGCCCAAGTCATTGGTTAATTAACTCGCTTCATACAGTTTTGTTAACATAAACGATTGTTCATATCTAACAATGGCATCATAAATAGTTTTGTTGGAATAACCAAACATTGAGCATGATTTACATGAACAATTTTTTAAATGTTGTTTTCACTTTCTCTGCACCTAACTCTCCTCACTATCGCATTTTGTTCGCAGCATGCCCACTATGCCAGACCCTAAAATACGAGTTAAAAAAATTAAAGTTAAAAGTATATTACGGATCAGCGTAGATTTTTCGTCGTCAATAGTTTTTGTCGTTGTTATTTGGTATTTAGAATCGTGTGCGGATGAGATTTAAAACAATTTTAATTAACAGTAGCCGAATTTATGTTAAAAGACGGATTTCCGTCTGAAACTCGCCTTGATACCTGTGCTCTCTTCTTGGACGACATTTTGTATCGCAATATACGCCGCGAAGCTTCATTGCCGGTCTTATATTTCTATTTTGGGCTAAAATTTGTCTGATTTATTCGTCAAATATAAATTTAGGACAAGTTTTCCGTCAAAGACAGTCCAAGCAAATTTTTATCACTAGACAGAGTGGCGACGCAAGCCAAGAAGCAAACAAAATTGATGTTACTAAGAAAGATCCCAAGCAAATTTGGAAGCTCATAAATGAATTAAGGGTCAATTAAGTTCTCGTAAAATTAGTAACGTAGCTTATAACTGATCCACCTGTTATTGCGGATGCTTTTAATTCATACTTTACTTCGATAGGTGAAAATCTTGCAAGCAACATAGATAACTCAACGATGGAATCACCACCATCCAGTCATTCATCCAAAACCTACAAACGCAGTATTTTCTTTCAGTGAAATAGAAATTCAAGATGTAACTCATTTACTTAAAAATGTCAACTTTAACATGGCCACAGGTCTTGATGGCATTGCTGGAAAAATTCTGAAGCTAGCAGCTGATATTTTGGGCCCTTCGTTGACAAAAATATTCAACCAATCTCTCAACCGGGGAATTTATCCGGATGATTGGAAAATGGCTAAGGTTGTTCCTGTCTTCAAAAACGGAGCAAGAAATGATTTGAACAATTAACCTCCAATATCAATTATTTCGGCAGTTACATGCCAAAATATTCGGAAAATTAGTGCACGATCAAATTTATCGTTACCTGACGAGCAATGATTTATTCTCCAAATAGCGATCTGGGTTTCGACCAAACCACAGCACTCTTACTCCCCTATTGGAGACTGCTAGTAGTTGGAGTGCTAATATTGACAACGGTTTCCTAAATGGAGTTGTTTTCATTGACTTGAAGAAAGCGTTCGACACTATACACAACAACATACTTCTACTTAAATTAAAACACTATGGAGTAGATAAAATTGCTTTGACATGGTTTCACTCTTATTTATCAAATCGAAAACAGAGGTGCTTTGTTCAGTGGGAACCTTTCCGAAACTTGTCCAAAAACGTACGGCGTTCCTCAGGGCTCTACTATTGGTCCTCTTTTGTTTTTGGTCCTAATCAACAACCTGCCGGAATGTTTGAATGAGGTCGGGTTGCCAACAATGTTTGCCGATGATACGAATATAAGTTTTCAAAGTAATAACTTTGATGATCTTGAAAGAGTTATGAATACTGAATTTGAAAAACTTAAAGAGTGCAATTAACAAATTAAGTTTAAATATTGCCAAAACCGAATTCATGGTTATCGGTTCTTGTCAAAGACTTGCAACTTTCGATGATCATGATATTCATATTCAATAATAAAAAAATTGAAAAGATAGATAGTACTAAATCACTAGCACTTTCTATTGACGAAAATTTGACCTAAAAGAAAAAAAAAATTTACGATATTTTTTAGAAAGTATCATCTGGAATAAGTGCTTTAAACCGAATAAGAAGTTATGTCAATCACGATACAGCAGCTATATATAGGGTGTATCAGGGATTAATCGAGCCATATTTTTCCAACATAGAGCTGCACGTGCATGTTATAACTTGCTCTCCATATGATGCCTCCTCTAGCTCTGTTCCTGAAAAACTTGGTTAGAATAACTTGCATGTTAACCGTAAAATGCAAAAAGCGATTCTCATGCATAAAGTCAGGAACGATTTAACACCTATGTATTTAAAAGACTTGTCACTAGAGTTAATTACTATAGTTTCAGCGATTCAAATGGCAAATTATTTGCTCCTAAAGCTAAAACTGACTATCTTATCCTTTAGTTTTAGTGGAGCTTCACTTCATTATAGCATAGCTTGCCTGAGACCTTGCGATTCTCTGAATCACTTTCTTCATTCAAAAGATCTTTAACACTTAATTGTTATTCTATTCAGCTTAATTAATCCGACTCCCACACGGCAACCTGGAAGAACAGTAGTTTTATTTATCGATTATATAATTTATAGAAGTTTAGAGAAATTTATCATGTATGTATTTCCATGGTCGCATTGCTAGGGAAAGCATAGCAACGGACAACGGACATCAAATCTATAATTTGCCCTTGCTCGTGTTGATCACGCGTAATTATGGAGATTTTAAGCCCTCCACGCGCGGACCTCTTGTCAAAGGTATATAATAATGAAACTTGCATCGATGCAAGCGTGATCTTAGCTTCTTCAGAAGAAACTAATCACCCGAATGGGCACTTACAGAAACCAAACATGACAACAGTGATTCGATATATAGATACTGTATCAATTACTGCGTCATGAACCTGTGCAACATCTTATATATCCAGGGTATTGGGACCTGTGTATCTATTGTGATTTGCAAACACCGCATCCATATTGATATAGTTGCTAGTAACCGCACGGTTTCTGTGCTTGAATTATGCACACGTGAAATATTCGCTTGAACATCGGTCCATCTAGTCCCGCTAGTTAAGGCACTGAGTTGATTCCTTTTGGTTAACGAGGTGAGTTTGAGAATTGCAGTAATTTAATTAGTGTGACGTCATTGTTATTAAAAAGTTACTTCAAGGGATCGTATATTAATTATTGTGGATTTTTTTTTGCTTAAATACGTTTATTAGTACTAGGAAATTTACAATAATCAAACATGCATTAAAACTAAGTATAACAGTTCTAGATACTATTTACAAATATTGCGGAAATTGCAGGGGGAAAGTGTACACGGCAATTGCCCAACAACTATCTGTAGCTTTCGTCTGGATTATTGTTGGTATTCAAATTCCGTTCAGACGAAAGCTACATTTTAGTTCGAATTTGGTTTGCGCACGCACCAAACTTTGATAGAAAAATAGCGTAGAATATGTAGATTTCCAGAGTTCCAACGTGAGTCGATATTGATACGCCAATTAATTTAACACAAACGACAGTTTCTTACTCACAAGCAGGTCCACGTTAAACACTGACTAAAGTCTGACTTAAGTTTGCTTGGGTCGGCTATATTTATGCAGAGCGATACCGGAAAGTGCAATAGATCAAGAACTGGTGTTTTGTGCAACGGACATCGCTAGGTGAGCCTGGGAAACCGCATTGCGCATTTGCTGACTAAACTTACGCATTTTGGTTTAGCGGTTGTGGCTGCAGAAAATAACAAGGTTGTTTTTGCCAATACAATATCATAGAAAACATACGTTGGTTTGTCCCTTCCGTTTTGAAACTAACACTATCATGCATATACCTGTATTTTATTCAATACGGCAGAATATATGATAAAACAACATACTTTCATTAGATTATAATTATTTATTTACAAATATAGTTCAATTACAATGAAAAAACAAAAATACTCTGTATAAACATGATAATATAATTATAAAGCAACATGCACAGAAATTAAAATTAATTTGAGGGCACACTGCCTTATTTATATAGGTTGCAAAACTTATATCATATCATATACACATACAGTTATATAGCCTACACCTGCGTTGGTCTATATAAATTAAGGGATGACTTGGATGGCCTGGGTATGATTCAATCAGAATGCATGTGTATATATATATATATATATATATATATATACAGTAGGAGGCAAAAGTTTGAGTCCAGTCGTTGTAGAATTCCAGTATTAAATCCTGGCAGCGTATTGGAGTTAAGACATGCGTGCTAGTGTTTCAGTACTGTAAACTATATTAATTGCACACTGTTTTGGTCCTAATGATCTAAATTATAACAAAATAAAGTTCTCATTCCTTTACACTGCCCAAGATGGGTAGGAAAAAGGGCAAAGTGATGGTGCACAAGGACAAATAGTTCCATTAAGTATTGAAGGATTCTTTCCTCGTAAGATCGCAGAAGAAGTGAGAATTTAAAAAGGTGGTATGCAACTAACCTTGGAGAGGTTCGAAGAAACTAAATCCTACTCAAGCAAACTTTTAGCTGCTTTGGTCATGCTCGGTTTGGCAATATTGAAAGATATAATAGGATCCTAATTAAAGAAAGTATCATCCAATTCTTCAAGGACATGGAATTTCATCTGGTACAAAGATGATCGCACGTCTAACTACATGATAATCACCCTAAGCACATGCACATCTTCTATGTGCCAGAAATCGTTTAGAAGCATACTCATTCTGGTGATCTCGTTGTCATGGCTTTCCACCTCATATTCCAGATCTAAAACCTATGGAGCACTTGTAGAACCGTTTTAACCGGAAGAGGGCGAGGCACAGACCCGCCAGCCAGGCTGACTTGAGGCAAGTGGTCAACGAATGCTGGCAAGGTATTGAACGTGTGACATTAAAAAACCTATGGAATCTATGCGAGCAAGAATAAAGGTCATTTCAAGAGCAAAAAAGAGGGAACTAAGCAATGACATGTAAATGCATGTTTGCACATTAAAATACGTAAAAATGAATATCATAACATCTCATAGTTGTTGTACAGCATGTATTTTTCTGTTTACTTGTTTACTTTTTTCTAGTTCACTTATCGGTAAGGTTTTTGTGTAGAATATTAATATATGCTGCTGAAACAAAGAAATACAGTCACTGGACTCAAACTTTTGCCTCCTACTGTATATTACTATTGATCGAATCTAATGCTCTTTATTGAACATGCAACTGATTTATATAACATGTTTCAGTTGATATATAAAAATGAAAAGCTGTGGAATATTTTATGTGGACTGTATATAAGCTTAAAATGTTCTGTAATCCATATACGAAAACGGATGTTTTCTCGATTAGGCTTAGAATGTTACCTGGACTACGTCTAGTTGTAGTCATTATAAGGACAAGAGATATCATATAACAACGTGATTTTTCAGAACATTATTTTGTATTTCAAATCTCCTCCGCCCGTCACGTTTTCCGCGCGGCCGTGGCCTTGATGATTCTGCTTTGGGCGGCGCCTTGCAAAAGTTTTTGTCCACCTTATAATGACAGTCTTTACACTTAACGTAGCAGCACCAATGAAACTGACAATCGCATTTGCTCTCATCATCCATTTCAATTGTATCGAAACCTCGTCCACAGCATAGAGCGGCACAGCTCCCGACACCGTCCCTTGTTTTGTTGCATTCACGCCCTCCTGTTCCAGGCGATCCCGTCGCATCGTCTTTCCTGCAGTAGTCCGGCGAATTCTCCAAAAAGACCATCGCCTCCCCGGAGGGTTTCTTCCTTTTGTTGACTTTCGATAAAGATTTTCCAGCTTGGTCGACAGTAACTTTGATGGCGTTCAAATACTTTCGACGCAACAAATTTCCGACTGTTTCAAAGGGCATCATTTGTTTCCAACAACTTTTCACGGCGCAAGAACCAGATACTCCGTGGCATTTACACTGGAGTTCCATTAAACGTCGAACTGCCTTTAAAAAAAGAAAAAAAATCTCATTAGACATTATCCAACAGAACAAACGAGTTCTTAAGAATATTTTTCGGATAAATCAAGACAGACATGCATAATTATGAGAATAGTAAGTCGTAAAACTCTTTATTACTTTATTTATTAGTCATAAAACTCTTTCGTAAAACTCGATATCATTCTCAACACTCGAAATAAATTCCATATTTCCGCGAATCCATGCATGTATTATTCTCTATATAACAGGATGCCAAATGAGAACGACCGGGGAGACTGGATAAACTAGCATATAATTTGGCATTCATGAAGTATGGAAAATATGCCTCGTGCATATAAGTATTGGATTCCTGTGATGCTGCATGCGTTTTGCATGATAAGATCTGTTAATTGCGACTTTGCCTGATGGAGATTCTTGATTAAGGTAGACAAGAAAAAGCCACAGGTGGTGAAGTGCAATTTAGCAATTAAATCGACCGCCCTTCCTTCTAGTGCATGACGACATTTTAACGATTGTTTATATACGCATCTATAATAATAGTTCATATATATATCGCCCCCTACACATGTAGACGCATGAGAATATTCTCACCATGTATTCCCGAAATGACGTCAAAGATCTGAAATTAATTATATACAAATATATCGATATATGTTTATATTTATCGATGTGAACAATAAAGGACATGTTAGGATCTTATGTTTAGAAATTGGCAATATATTCTATTAGCTTTATCTCATCAGTGTAGTGTATTTTATCCATTATTGTAAAAACGTTCAACGATAACTAACCAGTCGGAACAGCATACACACTTAATAAAAATTGCGTTCGTAGTGCACCCTTATAAAAATTGCGTTCGTGCACAAAGAAAACTTTCATGTGTAGTGCTGATTTTTTTTAATCATTAACCACTTGGCTTGCCTGTTACGAGCTAACTCAATTATGTTTTCGTAACGATTATAAACATTATATATGCACCAGTTTCCCGTTCTTTGCCAATTAGGTTTACGTTATTGCCTGCAATTGCCAGTCAATTTCCTACAATTGAACAATCAATCAAAGGTCTAGCAAGGTTAAGTATTCGGCAAAAATTTAAATAATCTTGGATTCACCATCCTCAGAAAGATGAAATCATTTTGTTTGTTTGATAAATTTGCATTAATGCATGCATGGAAGACATTTGTTGAATACAACTGGTTGTCCCCAGCACGACGACTTGAACTTGGGCCCAGATCGGCTCCTCTAATGGCAACATCGATTTGGATTATAAACCTGGAAATTGGCTTGGTCCGGAGTTTGAAATATTTCGTGACGACCTGACGTTTGCCCAGAGTGCTTTGATTACGAACAGAAATAAAGTATTCGTGCACCGAAATCATAGACAGTTTACTTGCTTTGAAAAACGAACCCTTACATGAACTCGATATTCTCTTAAATGCTGGATTAATATGAATCTGATTTTATGAGCAATGTTATACGTAAACCAATAAAATATAGCAACGATAAATCAGTGTATATATAAACAAAACAAAGCCCACGGTGCCGTTGAGTGGCTCTCGGCATTTGAAAAGGATCGAGCATGAAACATCTTGACGATATCCCCATATATGGTTCACTGTACGTTCAGAATTACATATAGCCATTTTTGGTACTGATGTGTCCAAGAAGCCGTTTACATGATCCCGGTTGCTCGAGATTAAACATAAAAAGCTTTTGAGATATTGAAATAAGTCTTTATGGAACCAAGTGAATGAAGCACATCAGTCGAGATGATGATTTCATCCCTTAATTCAACACCTCAAAGTCAATTCATGCATGCACGCTTCTCGAATTTATTATTTACTTTCGTAAAAAGTAACCTGTACTTTGCAAATCGTTATTATGCACGTTGCGTATCATTCATTACTTGTAGTTGGTGTATCATTCTTTATGTACTATTATATTAATTCAAATATGTACTTTATATTATTACCATATGTACATATCACCTTATGTACTATTATTACCATACAGATATCGGCATGTTCTACACACTGTAAGTCGGTAACAGAACATAGAAGCTTACCTTTCGTCCGACTTTGTTGTTGTGTAGATTCATAAGCGCGGGTGGATCTTGCTGGGTTTCACGAGAGTCAATAAACGTGCGGGCAAACTGGATTCCGTAACCAACATTCTCGCTGCATCCTCCCCACTGAAATCCATCGTTTTCACTTGTCTTCTCATTCTTCCTGTCGCAATTGCATTCTCTCAGCTCTCCTCGGCTGCAAGCACGGGTTACTTCGTACACGACACCTGCCGAGGTTATTGCATGCACAAACGCCGTCTCCTTATTGGCTACAAAGTAAGAATTATTATTATCATTTTTTTTCCGATATATATTCAGATTATTACCATTATCTAAATAACTGACGAAATGCACACTTATAATCATAAGAAACACCGGGTTCTCATTATTTTCGTGTATATAAAGTAACATAGTATAGTGTAGTGGCACGCAAAAAATCCGTCGACATGTATAACCGATTCTGGACTAAATCCCAGCATATGAGAATAACATAACACTTAAAGCCGTGTTACACGGTGCAATTCTGCTCTTGAGAGATGTAAATTATTGGAAAGTTTTCGAAATAAGAAAACATCCCTGGAGTGTAATAAGCACTTTTCAGGATTTTTCAGATCTCTCTAAAATTGAATTGGATCACAAGTTGAAAGAAAAACTGCATCGTTTGACACGGCTTTAACCAAAGGGCAAGGTTAGTAAGATTCAAGAACAGCACTTGTATATTAGCATATCACGAAACCCACTATCTTTCTCGAATATAGCTTAGTGGGGTTAAAAAATCTCGCAATTATAATAAGAGTGATCTCTTGTCATCAAGCATAATCAGGAAATCTAAAATTGTGCTAAGGAGGGGCTTCGTGCAGTGATGAAATCGTACTTCGTGGGTCAAATCCTTTATAAAGTGCATGCTATATTTCTAAATAATTGCGTATGTCGAGCACGTTCATCCGAAAGTAATTTACACTAAAGTGTTTTCATATAGCAGTCTCGTACAGTGCTCTTGAATATATTGGCCCTGGTCTCATTTACCATTCAACTTTTAAACGAACTGTTGCAATGTTTGGCTGCTGTTTGGCGATATCTAAGAGGAATATTGCCATATATTCTCATGTACCAATATATATGCTTCTTCTAGATTTATCATCAATGCTATATTTAGGTTTGTTTCACTTTTTAAGCACCTACGTTCGTCAGTAAGTTTATTATAATTGTGTATGATACAAAGTACATTTTGTATTGCATTTATAGCTATTTTTACTCTTTTCTCTATTGTGACCATACATGTACATGGAAGTCTGCCAGTTCATGCAATATACTAATACGATTTCACCACGTGAATGGTGATAATGGTGTATAATTATACTGTTTTATTCTGGCAATTTTTTTTGGTAAACCACAGCGATGTAGTATTATAGTCTTTACGTAGTTTGTTTCGTTCTATATTTTATCAAAATACTCAGCGGTTACCAGAATTTAATAGCATCTAGAGTTACACCATTTAATGCCAAAAAAGCAAAATTGAAAAACCCCATCCTGCCCTGTAATAGGTATGTTAAGTTTATGTGCTTTATATATACCGCTAATTAAAAAAACCCTAAACTTTAATAAAGGCATCAATGTTGGGTTATGTAATTTCTTAAAATTACCATTGCATAGAGGGTTTTTCTTTTTGCATACAATTTCATCAACTTTTCTTTGCCACGGTCGTGCATGCATACACGTAAAATTTTAATCTGTTGAAATGTTGCTTATATAAAATAGGCAACACCAATAAATATAACTTAACAGTATTTATTTGTGAACTGGTTTAAAAATGCTGCTTGGAATCAAGACCCTTGTGATTTATGAGCTCAGGATAGGTGATATAAACAAATTAATCATGCATGGGCCGTCCAACTTTAATAGCTGCTTACACTTTTTTAAATGTAAGACCTTCTGTTTAATATTGTCTGCATGCACTGCATGCTAAACGGGGTAAGGTTGCCAGGGAAGATTCGACACGACTTAGTGTCAATGACGTCTTTGAGTGGTGAGGTTTTATGCTGAGGCAGTACACAACCACATGCACTGATCAGAACAAGCCGCGCCTGAGAATGGAGTGGGTGATGTTCTCAGAGGGTTTATCGATGTCGTGAGAAAAAACAAACTCCTTCACTTGTACAATTAACTTTACGTGAATACTTCATATTGTTATATAGTTCACTATATACCCGGAGGAGAAAAACATTTAGACAAGCCCACAGCATTTGTCTCTATCGATATAGCATCGCGTCAAATACAAATTACCAATATAGTTGCATGCTGCAGAAAAGCCTTTTCAAAATGCGTTCGACGGCCCTGCATGCCCCCTGATGTGTTGTTACATAATGGCATTGGTTCGACCATTTTCTTTTAATTTTTTTCATCCACATATTACTATGCGAATGACTTCGAAAGTAGACGAATCCTTGACTTAATGCATGTTATTCTCGTTCTGCAGTAGACAAGTATAGTAATCAGGTATACAAATTCTCCGAAGTATGTCCTTTTTTGATAAACATGGACACGACGACACTGAGTTTCGCATTTGCATTTTTAAAAGACGGCGTCGTGTATATATTGTCAGTAGAAGTATCAGGTGCTGATTATATATAGTTAGCATCGTGCTAAAATCTCAACAGTCAACACCGAATCTAATTGGAAATGATCGTTTGATGTGCATAGAAAGACATATCAAACGCGACTCAGACAAAGACCAGTTGAATCAACAAGAATTTGACAAAGACAATTAGGATTAAAATCATGGAGACGGTAATGCAGCTAAAACACCCCATGGCATTCTAAGATTAACAAATTCACTCACACTGGCATGTGTGTAACATGTGGTCTACTTACATCTTCGCATGAGCTTTCCAAAGACAGACGTATCTTGTTCGAACGTCGAACAATTCCAACGATCCTGGCTGAACTGCTTCTGACACTGTTCCAAGCCAAGTTTCGCTCCTTTGCCGATGCTCGTCATTACTTCGGGATTTTCTCGGCAAAGCGTTCGCTGTGTACCGACCAAGCCGACTACGTTGTTGCACATGACTTTTGCGCCAAGTGCGTACACCTTCGACATATACCTATATAAAAGAGAAACTATTATACAATCTTGCACTGATGAGAGGACGAGCCAATATTTACCCAAACAAATTTATACGATCGAATATAATGACGATTATAGAATTCTGTGAAAACTTTTATATGCCGCAGTTTACAGTATATATGTATTCATATATATGAAAAACGAAACAAGTTACAAGTTACTCTTTGCTAATCAGCAAATTTGAAAATATTCAGCGTTATTTAATAAACTTTACAATACGGCATTCAGGAATCATGTAAACCTATATTACTTACATCCAGTTTCCATTTGAGAGAATGATAGAATTTAATAGAATAACCACGACGAACAATGCCTTCAAATCCGAGAGCCTCATGATCGCAACGTTGTTCGATTCTTGAGCAGTAAGTGTATACGGTAGAGTAGACGGACGTACGAATGATAGATTTCTAAGGATCAACACTTAAGTGCGCCACAGGAAAGTGGGATATGGTCATTGAATGCTGCAGTCATTTAGCAGCAATTAAGGAGGGAAAGAATGATAATGAATCGCAATAAAAGTTATAAACTGCTCAGCTCTAAGGCTTTAAGGTTGAGAAAATGCGATAGAAATTACGGAGAAGTTGTGTTTACCGCAACTGTCGGGGGTGGAATAAGCTTCCTGGATTGGTTCGATTGCTCAAGAACGAATTTTCGACCCCGTTTGAGCATTGCTTTACGGCATTGGTGTTCTCAATCAGTGTCTTACAAGTTACAAGTTGATAAAAGCAATAAACAGAGCACTTTATATCAATTAAATTGTTTGTATAATATTCGCCTAGAGCCGTATACGCAGCATTGAAGTATATCGCACGTAGTCGTAGGTTATAAAATGTTTTAAATAAAATATTTTCATTACCTCTGGGCGTTCGAAATATCTAGCTGAGGCTTGACTTTGAAAAAACTGAAGCTATTACAGCTATTATCAAGATTCCTTTAAACTCGCCGTAAATGTCTTCGCCGACCGACCCGACATTAATTCCGAAATCAATACCTTAATCCCTTAATTGATTCGTCTATTCAAGGTCGATGTCGAAATGGTCTGCCGTCGGCTCGACAGGCTTTTAACCGTGCAATGGAAGTGAAGCGGTAGGCGTGTACGACATAGCACGGTGCCCTTGCAACTTTTGACAGTCTTTGTGTGTGTGATGGTAAATGGCAGGTATTAGGAGATTAGGAATAGGTGGGTCTTCACCGTATATCGCTAATTATATAGCTATCGCTCACGCCAGACTTTATCGGCAAGCCAACACTTTCCGTAATGAGTTTTTTGGCTGACGTTTTGAGCTGACATGTTCCCGATAATAACGTAGTTGAATTGAATAGGAACAATCAAATGTGTCACACAGTCACAGCGTGTCTCGCTAATTGGCGAACTGTTTTAAAAAAGTTTTGTAACTTTTGCGAATGGGGCAGCCATATTCTCGAAAATCTATAGAAGCAGTATGGCGGTAATTGATTACCGCTTAGCCGATTTAGACTGAATATACGAGTAAACCTCGTAAAGCAGTCTAAGACACGTTTGACTAAATTGCTGGAGGGGAAGTTAGGGGCTATGTCAGTCTGGCAGGCGCTATATTTAAACAAATTATAGATAGCTTTGTTTTAAATTGCTACATAATTATGATGATAAACTTAACGTCAGCATTCCGGGCCTTCTTCGAATTGTAATCAACTTCACACAAACAGTTAAATTTACACTATATTTCAAAAGCAAACAATGTTATCAAGTTAGACGAATTATAAAAAAAGCAGCGATAAGAGGTGATGTTACCTGTAGGACTGATGCTATCTGTAGAAAAATAATATTGAATATAATCATGCTGTTCTATAAATAAATATAATATAAATATATATGCTTGTCGTTTTTATTTTTGCCAAATCTTTATAAAAAGGATAAATGTATATAATTATATGGATGATTTACGCCTGCAATAAATGAGCTGGCTATATACAGCTATATAGCCTACAACATAATCTGAGATTAGCGTCGCATCGTGATGTAGCTATTATATATTTATAAAATTATCGGCTGTATATATATTTTAGAAGTTCGCTGGAGTATGGGAATTCACAACTGATTCCTAAATTAGAACCTGATTTTCTGCGTTTTACGCCACTGAATCTGTTAATTCAGTAAAAGTACCTTAGACGAAACAACTTCCAACAACAACTCGCAACGCGGTTTACTCGTCGACTGATGGGATAAAGTATATGAGCCAGTTCAGAACAAGGAAATTGTTTGAGAAACAACTTGAAGTTTATGAACTTTTTTATCCACACAATATCGGTTGTTTAAATATTTGCTTATTATTGCTGCGTTGCGAGTGATTTATAATTTTGTCACGCGTGTAACGTCGCCTTAAAGGAGGCCAAGCCTATTGAGTGAGGATGCATGTTTAGAATACTAGCGCGTAAGTCGTTGTAAAGTCTGTAGTTACATTGCATGCATCCAAATTGAGGTCCAAATGATTCGGATCTTAAAAGTTTTAAAATGCATGTGCATGCACGCTTTCGGAAATAGTGACAGCTTTGGTCTCCCATACAGAGAAGATCAATGAAAAGTTTTAATTAGACAAAGAGTCTTTGCTTGCCAAGTTGAAGGCGATACATATATATGTTCTGGTTGATTGAGTAAAAGTGGAAAAAGATTAGGAAATAATCAACTTGTCCATGACTTGACAATATAGCTGAACATGACTATCATAAAGTGCTAGCTGCATCCTATATAGGTGCATGGGCATAGGCGTTACGATTTGAACATAAAAATCCATGACTTGGCTATACGGAAGCTATACTGAACTACAGGATTACCAAGAACTGGTATATAAGTATACCCTGCATGCATGGGAACGTGGTTGACGTTTCATGCTCGCATTGAACAGTGGGATCATGAGTACAGTTTTGACTATGAGAATCCTGTCGTTTATTTCTCCATTACAATTGACAGTTTACAGTCCCATTACTCATGATTATGACTAGACCATAAAGTTTTAGCTACATCCTAGGTGCATTGGCATAGGCGTTACGACTTGAACATAAAAATCCATGACTTGGCTATACGGAAGCTATACTGAACTACATGCACCGGATTGTTGATCCTACATAACTCTGTGATATCAATGTGTCTGCATGCATAAATAATATAATTACCCGGGTAGCCGAGTCTAGGTTTCACGATTATTATTTTAAATTTTGAATTTGATCTGTGACCTCAAAATAGAATTAAATTTCTTAAAACTTGTTATATAGCTACTGAAAATGTGTTAATAATATATGAATGAGTCATATTTATATAACAAGGCATATAAAGGTTCTGTCACTTTCCAGGGAATTATTATTATTTACATGCTTTGTCAATTCTGACCAGTGATCCCTACAGAGCTTATTGCTCCATTAATAGGGTACCTAAAATTACATTAAGCATGCACAAACAACATTTACAAGATAATGGTTATTTCGCTGCCCTCATAGAAACAACCAGACATTGAACAAATTGTATTAGTTTCCTAATATAGTAATATGTTTCAAGAATATTACCAATTTGAACAGTGAAGGCTGAGAAGCTCATTAGAAATATTCTGAGGTCAGCGAATCAACCTCTACAGCACATTTTATCAAAGTTTACATAACGGACGACATGAATGACATTTAACACAGATAGTTTTAAAAGATTGCGGAACATCAATGTTATATACCAGTTCAGTCATCTTATTATAATAATCCAATAAGTATGACTTAAATTGTCCAATGGTAACATCTGATCTACGTATATGTGGCGGTAGACTGTTGAAGATTCTAGGAGTTCTGTTGTAATAGCTATTTTGATATGTTAAGGTGTTTACTCTTGGTATGTTTATACTAACGCTATTCAATGTCTCGCTCCTTGTGACACGATTACTTAATTTAACTTCTATGTTTTGACTGTGTCTCATTTCTTTAAAGAAGTGAATTAGGTCCAGGTACTCATGCCAGTAGCTCAAAGGGAGTAGCCCTGTTTTTAGCAGCCGGTTTTTGTAGCTTGTTTTGGATCCAAACGGCAACGACAAGATGACTCTTGTTGCACGTCTTTGAACCTTTTCCATTTCAAGGATAAGAGAAACAGACTGTGGTGACCAGACTTGCGAGCTGTATGCAAATTGACTTCGTACCAAGGTCTTATATAGTGTGCAGCGGATACGAGGATCACTCAGGTTGTTAGAAGATCTTCTTACAAACCCCAGCATTCTGTTAGCTTTCGTACATACAGCTGATATTGGTGGTTCCATTTGAGATCTGAGGTTATAAAAACCCCGAGGTCCTTTTGCACAGTTCGGTTTTTGATCATTGATGTGATTGAAGGATCGTGATTTGTCAGGTTGTAGCTTGATGGAACTAGCTTTCGATTTCTTGTCACAGTGAGAACACCGCACTTAGACTGGTTGAGGCTCATACGCCACGTCTGGCACCACTGGTTGATTTCGTCGAGATCACTTTGAAGATTGTTAACGTCCTCTGTTGTTTGTATTGCACGATAACACTTGGTATCATCAGCAAATAGCGCTACCGACGATGAAGTCGCCTTTTGTGGTAGATCGTTCACATAAACAAGGAATAATAATGGACCAAGGATTGAACCCTGAGGAACACCTGACAGCACTGGTATTGGTTGAGATGTTTTGCCTAGAACTGTAACTTGCTGATAGCGGTCAGTGAGATAGTTTTCAAACCAGGCCAGTAAGTTACCACCAACCCCAACGCTTTGTAATTTCTTGATGAGTAGTTTATGATCGACTCTGTCGAATGCTTTAGCAAAGTCTAGGTATAGAATGTCTGTTTGAACTCTTTTATCTAGCGATTTGCCAATCTCATGAAGAACTTGAAGTAACTGTGATGTTGTAGACTTTCCCTTGAGAAAACCAAACTGGAGATTATGCAGTTGGCAGGATAGATGGTTAATTAGTTGATCGTAGATACAACGCTCTAAGACTTTCGATACAATGGAAAGCAGAGAGATTGGCCGATAATTTGAGACTTCATGCTTTTGACCACTTTTAGGAATAGGTGTTACATTTGATATCTTCCATTCCGCTGGTATTCTTCCTGCATGCAAGCTCTTATTAAATAGATCACTCAGCGATGACGAGATATAGGGTGCGCTGTATTTGAGTAACCTTGCAGGGATTTTATCTGGGCCTGTGGCTTTGCTGACATCAAGCGAGAGGAGAACACGTCTGACAGCATCAGAGGAAATGTGGATATCTGTAATTGGTTCACAGGATGAGGTGATCAGAGTTGGATGATTATTATACTCGTCCTGGGAAAGGGGAGGATTAAACATGGAATGGAAGTAGTTGTTTAAAAGGTTTGCAATGTCCTCTGGGTTTTCAGCTGTTATAGTCTCTTCACTTCGTTTCCAGGTCATTTTGCTTGGCACAGTGGACGTTTTTGACACGGATTTAAACAGCGACAAAAATTTCTTCGGGTTAGATCTCGTTAAGTTGGGTAAGTTCTGGAAGAATTTTTTACGTTTTTGTAAAAGTAGGGATTTACAGCAACGGCGAAGTTCACGGAAGGATTCCCAGTGTTTGGTGTTAGATGTTCTTTTCGCTCTTCGTCTAGCTGTTTCCTTTTTCTTCAGTAGATGTCGAACGTCACTGTCAAACCAAGGTGGAGATTTGCGTTTCTTGATGACTTTGGTAGGAATGTGACGATACACAGCATTCATATAACGATCACACCAACGTTGCCAATCATCGTCAATGTCGCTCGAATTATTTTCTAGGTTGTCGGAGTTGTTAGGGAGTTTTCCGGAACTGTCACTATTATATTTATCTAAGACTATTGACGAGG